ACCGTGTCTCTCTCGGGAGCCCCCCTTGCTCTGAGACCGGCTCCGTCTGGCGGGACCGCAGCGCTCCGGTTTCGTCCGGTGTGCGTCGGCGCAGCGAGTGTTCCCTGCCCCCGCTCTCCCAGCCTGTCTGAGTCGTGTTGGTGCGCGAGGCCGAGTCTTGCTCTCTGGCCTGGTCTGCTAACCTGAGCCTTTTCACTGGAACGTGTGTGTCGCTTACGTGTAGTGCAATGGCAACATGGTCGGATTTACATTCACCAGCTTGATGTTGACTTTTTCTCTGTCTCAACTGTCCTTTCCCCCTCTTTTTTAGCTGTAAACCGTTTGCTAGGTTATTTTAGTGGTTGTTTTGGACTTTAATATTGTACCTTTTTTTAAAAAAAAAAATTCACTTTTTAAAATATTTTATTTCTTTTTAGAGATAAGGGAAGAGAGGGAGAGGAACATCGATTGGTTGCCTCTCGCACGAGCGCTGACCAGGGACCTGGCCCACAACCCACGCAGTTGCCCTGATGGGGAATCAAACCGGCGACCGTTTGCTTTGCAGGGCGACGCCCGGGCCCCGAGCTGCCCTGCCTGGGCAGGGCCAAGGGACACACCTTCACAGGCAACTCCTGTTGCTAGTGCCCCGCCCCCCACCCCGGTCCCTCGTGTGGCTTCGGGTCCGCCTGGCGCCGCCTTCTTCTGCTCAGAGGACACACTTGAGCACAGTGTAGATTTGCTGCTGACTTGTTCTTCTGGCTTCTTGCATCTGAAAAAGCCCTTATTTCATATTTATTTTCTTTGCTATTTATTCTTCGCTGGCAAAGAACACAGGTTGATGGGCTTCTCCCAGCGCTTTAAACCCATTGCTCAGCTGCACTGTGCTCGACGAGACGTCAGCGAACCTCTTTTTCTTCGTTCCCGCACAGGCCGCGTTCCTGTTTTCCTCGCGATGCTGTTAAGCTGTTCTGTCTACAGCTGTTTCTCGGCGTTTTGACAGTGACGGGCCTGCCTTGGTGTCGTGTTCTTCGTGTTTCTGCTGCCTACATTTTGTTGAGCTTTTGGGAACGGTGGGTCTGTGTTTTCCAATACATCTGGAAAAAGTCTGGCCTTTTTTTCCTTAAAATAGTTGTTCTTTCCCACCCCGGCCTCCTTTCCTGGGGCCTCTGACGCCCCGTCACCACCTGACTGTCCCGCAGCTGCCTGACGCTGCCTGTTTCCCAGCGTCCTCTGTGTCACCCAGAGCGTCTCTGTTGTTACATCTTCAAGTTCAGCAACCTTTTCTTTTGCAATGTCCTTATTCCCATTGAATGTATTCTTTAGCGCATGTTACAATCTTCACCTCTGGAAGTTCAGTCTGAGGCTGAACTCGCCCTGCCTCTCCTCGCCGTGGTCGGCCTTTCAGAATCTCACGCGTGGACAGGATCACGGTGGGCGTGGGTGATGTTCCCGCCTGCGAGTTCAACATCTCCGTTGCTTCGGGGTTCGTTTGGGTTGGTTCCCGCTTTGGTGTGGTCATAATTACTGCCTTTTTTTCATGTCCAATAGTTTGGGGGTCAAACATTGGGTGTTCTGCCTTGTTTGGGTGCTGGGTCATGTTGTATCCCTATAAATGTCTTGCCTTTGTTTCTGGGACTCAGTGAAGTTATTTGGGTCTGTCGCCAAGCTCTGGTGGGAACCAGCAGCACCGCCTGCGGTCAGCAGGGCCCTGCTCTCTCTGCTAGCAGACGCGCCTTAGGTGACAGGTTCTCGGGGGCCGTTAGTGTCCGGCGGGCTCTCCCCGTCAGGCGGTAACTCCCCCCGCCCCACGCGGGTTCTCCGTGGTCTCGCGCCCGCCTGCTCTCTGCCGGAGGCTGGGGCGGCCCTTTGCAGACACCCGCGGTCCCCCCGGCCTGTGTAGCTCTCTCGTCTCCAGGACTCTGCCGCCTGGGCTCCAGCTGCCCTGTCCCTGCACCGGGCCCTCTCCGCCCCCTGCCTGCAGGAGCCCCGGGGCTCTGCAGGGAACCAGCCATCCTAGGCTCCCCCCCATTTGTCTTCTGTCTCTCAAGGACCACTGTCCTTTTGCCGCATGAGGCCCACAGTTTGGGAGCTTCTCACATGGACTTATCTCTCCTCACACCTTGTGCGTGTGCCATTCCTGGTGAGAGCATGTTGGCCGGCGCCTGTCGCTTCATCTGCAGCAGGAGCAGAAGCTGGACGACAGCCGTGGTCACTCCCCTCCGAGCCCCGTCCACTGCCTGCGTGCGCCTCTCTGGGCCCCCACCTGCTGCTAAGATGCCCCCTCTCTGGGGGCCAGGCCATGTCCTCCCCGCCGCCCCCTGCGCTCCACCTGCGACAGAGCCACGCCGCAGCCAGGCGCCGCTGGCTGCAGGTGAAGGATGACCGCACGACCAGCAAATTAGCACTTCTTGCGGTTCACCTGTGCCGGTCTGGGGGGCATCAGAACATACTGCAATCCTCACGATCATCCTGTGGGACCGGATCGCAGGGGCGGGGACCGAGACCCAGCGGTTCGCCGACTGCCCTGAGACTCGCTGTAAGAGGGGCAGGATTTGAACGGGTTCCATATTCTGGGACAGTTTTCATGAGGGGGCCGTGGGAGCCGGCCGATCGGAGGGCTTCGCGCAGGAAGCTGCCTGGGCCGGGCTGGGGCGGACCTGGCGCTGGCTGGGGAGCGCGGCGGACAGGGAGCGGCTGGACTGGGAAGCCTCCGGGAGGGGAGCTGCCACTCCCAGGGGCTCCGCCAGGGGGCAGCGCGTCCCCGCGCAGGGAGTCGGCCCGAGGCCTGGGCGCCCGCAGCCCTGAGGCGCGGAACCCAGGACGCGCCCTTCCTACTCACACCCGCCGCGAGGGCCGGGCCGCGCCTCCGCACCTGCGCGGACTGCCACCCCACCTGGGCCGGATCACCTGCTGTGGCCCCTCCTCGCCGCCCACCTTGTCCCCCACCCCCACCCTCCGCCCACTTCCTGTTCTGACCTCCCCAGTGCTTCAGAGCCACCTTCCCACACACCTGCCCTCGGCAGCCTGCACACCTGTGCAGCTCTTCACGGCCTGGTGGTGTCTCGTCCCAAACCTGTCCTCAAAGGCTGAAGTCCCGGGCAGCCTGGGACGCCTCCGCCCACCTGCCCTCTTGTCCCCAGGGCCAGCCTCAGTCCTCGGGCGGCCCTGAAGGTGGCTCCGCTTCCCTACCATCTGCCTGCGGAGCCTGACTCCAAGTGCGGGGTGACTCCTCGGGTGCACCCCTGGGCCCTCACAGAGGGGGCCGGCAGGGTGAGGTGGGCAGGCGCACCTCCACCTGCCCGCGGGGGGCTGCACAGGCCCAGAGAAAGGATGCGGAACCGCCTCCTCTCCGGCTGGGGATGTGTGGGCCGGCTGGGCCCCAGACCCGGAGGGCTGGTGTCCCGCCCCATGCTCCCCTCTGCCCTGGGGACACCGGCCTGCAAGGCCCCTCCCGTCCCAGGCTGCCCTGGAAGGCTTCCTGGAAGAGGGGCCTCCTGAGAGGGGAGAGGATGCTCGGCCTGCGTTCCCGTGCCACACGTGGGCAGAGGTCCAGAGGGGCCGGGGAGGCTGCACGGGGGCGGGGGGGTGGGGAGCGGGAACCGCAATGTGGGCACAGCTGGGTTCAAGACAGGCCGGGCCCAGGCGTCCAGGGCATCAGGGGTCATGGGGTCTGTGCTGCGGGCCCTGCTGAGCCACAGAAGACTCGGGGTTGTGATTAAAAGTGACTTTTGATTCAAGCGAACTGACAGTGGAGGGGAGGCCGGGGGAGCCTGGACTGGGTAGTTCAGGCCGGAGAGGACCGTGTGGGTGTCCTAGAGGCTGATGGATAGAAGGTGGGGCGCAGGAGCCAGTACGTGCAGGGGGCTGTGCAGAGGGACGGCAGGGGCGGCAGCGTGGAGACAGAGCCGCGGGGCAGCGGGCTCCACAGCCTCGGTTTCAGTCCTGCACGTGCCCCGTACTGGCTGGGAAATCTTGGGTAAATGGCCCGCCTTCTCTGTGCCTGCATTTGCTCATCTGCACCAGGTGCCAGACACCTGCCTCATTGTGAGGGTCGAGGGAGGCGCTGGGTGTGCGGTGTTCTTTACTGCTACCATTATTAATGCCCTTGTGGTGTTAGCAGCAGCGGGTGAGAAGCAAGAAGCCAGCAGGTGGGCGGGGGGAAGGTACTTGCCCTCGGTTAAGGGCACCAGGTAAGCCTGGGGCCCACGTCCGGCCCTTGTGGTCCGGAGTTGCGTTTTGGATCGCCTCTCTGCCCTCACCCGCTCCGCGAAACGCGGGCCCGAGGCCCAGAGGCGTCCGAGGCCGTCCGGTTTTCCTCTCCCGGACAGCCGGATGCAGCTGGCCCGAGGTCCACTCCGGGCTGCCAGGGAATAGGGTACCCTGGTTCCGGGGCCTCCGATGCGGCCGCAGATAGGTGCAGGTGTGGGGTGGGCGCCGCGGCACCTGGCGGTGCGCGGAGCTCGGTTGGGGCGGGGCCGGGGGCCGGGTGTGGGGACGGGACCTGGAGGGGGCGGGCCCGGGTGGAGGCAGGGCCGGACAGGGGCGGGGCCGCGCCCCGGGGTGCCGCCCCGCCCGCGGGCCTCCCGCACCGCAAGGGTTAAGCCCTCGGGCCCCGCGGGCGGGGCGGGCGCGCGCGTGGATTGGCGGAAAGTTCGGGCGCGGGGCGGGGCGAGGGGCGGGGTGGGCGGGCCGCGGCGCGTCGATTGGCGGAAAGTTGTGCCGGGGCGGGGCGCGCGGCGGGCTCGGCGCTCGCTCCGGGAGAGTTGACAAAGCCCCGCAGGGAAGGACGCCTCGCGGCGCGCCGCCCCGGGCCCCTCGCCCCGCCGCCCCGGGACCCCGGCGCCGGCCCCCGACCCCTAGACGCGACCTCGCTGCCCACCCCGCCCCAGACTCCGGCCCCGGCCCGAGCCGCCCGCGCCCAGGTAGCGCCGCGCCGTCCCGAGGCCGGGCCCGGGGGCGCGGGGCGGCGGGGTGCGGCGCCCGGGGCGGCGATGACCGCCCAGCGCGCCCCGCGGGCCCGGCCCTGAGCCCCACCGCCCGCGAGCCCCGCCGAGGTGAGCCACTCCGCGCTCGCCCGCGGCCCCGGGGGACGACTGGGGCGCCGAGTGGGAGGGCTGGGGTCCGGGGTCCCGGGCGCAGGCCGGGAGGGTCAGGGTCCCTGATCCGCGGGGCCGCCGCCGGGCACTGGCACGCGCCGTCGCTGCTCCCGCCCGCTCCAGGGTCCTGCGCGCCCCGCCCCCCCGGCACCCCACGTGGGCCCCCCCCTAGCGCAAATTTGTCCGCTAATGGCGCAGGCGATTATCTGCGGGGCCGCCGGTGTTGTGTGTCCCGCGGGCAGGCCCGAGTTACAAGCGCCAGGAATCCAGACGGTGCTTAGAGAGGGGGCGGCGGGGAGGCGGTAATTAGTGTAAACCCTTTGTCTGCTTTGATACCCACGGTCTCCCCGCCGCCGCTTCCTCCGCCCGGAGCACCGGCCTGCACCCGACCCCCGCGGCCCAGGGCCCTAGGCCGGAGGGTGGCGCCCCCCACCCTGCGCGCCAGTGACCACCCCCCCTCCCCAAACTCCCAGGTCCGGACAGGCCGAGATGACGCCGAGCCCCGCGTTGCTGCTGCTGCTGCTGCTGCCGCCGCTGTTGCTGGGGGCCCTCCCGCCGGCCGCCGCCGCCCGAGGTGAGTCCTGGCGCCCAGCCCAGCGCCCCGGCCTCCGCCAGCACCGCCCCTTTCCCTCCGGCCCTCAACTCTGCCCCAGTGCCCGCCTGGCGCGTGCCTGCGCCCCGCCCCTGCCGGCTCGTGCTCGTGGCCCCTCACCTGCAGGCCCCAGCTCACCCCCGGGGCGCCCTTAGCTCACCTTTGGGGTTCCCCCATTTTATCCAAAGGGTACCCCCAGCTTACCCCCAGCTCAGACAGGGCCCCCATTGCCCATGGGGCACTCCTCACTCCCCCATTGAACCCTCAGCTCACCCACAGGGTCCTCTCTCACCCCTTGGGCACCCTGGCTCACCTGCAGGAAACTTCTTACTCTCAGGGCACCCCCAGCTCAGCCGTGAGGCCTCACAGCTGCTGGCAGGGTGGGCTTGGGCCCGTGTTCCCCAGAGGACATATGTGCACATGAGCACCCGCAGTTGAGCGTGGCCGGTCACCTTGGATTCTTGGGGGGTGGGCTGTTTGGCTTCCGGGCACCTAGTTAAGTCCCTGGGGACCTGCGGAGATTCCCCCCGCCCATGGTGGCCAGGGCGCAGTGTGGGGATGGTGGGGACGTCCTCGGTGCCTGGGATTCAAGACCCAGCCCGGTGCCTGGGCCTGCCCACACTCAGGCACAGAGCCCCCAGCTCCCGGGGGTGCCGTGCTATGTGGGGAACGGGGCCTGTTTCAAGGCAGACCCTGAGGGCTCCCTCCTTCAGGGCGGCACTGTGCTGCCGGCCTGCGCCCTCCCGGAGGCCGGGCACACGCTCACACACCCGGGGTCCCAGTGGGCGGCCCCTGAGGGGCACCTGCCCCGGCCCCTGCCCCAGCCAGCGAGGGCATCCTCCGCTGACGCGTAATGCGTGATGCCTACCCACTGACTTGCCCGCCATGGTCTGTGCTGGCCTCCCCTCGACTAGGCGGGACCTGTGGCCAGGCCGGCCCTTTGGGTGTGTTGGCCACTCAGGATCGTCCCTGCCCCGTCCGCCAGTCTTGTGAGGCTTTGAACCCCTCCCCTGCCGCCCAGCGGGCGCACCGAGCCCTACGCGGCCTTATATGGCCACGTTCGGGTGTTGGGTGGCGGGCGGCGGCCCAGGTGGGCCTCATGCCACGGTACCCCCCCTCCCCGCCCGCCCAGCCGGGCACTGGCCGGCTGGCTTGAGGGTGGGGGCCGCCCAGCCGTGGCTGGGCAGGGCAGCGTCCTGGGCACTGTGGGCACTCGGGTCGTGCTCAGCAAGGCCCCCTGGCAGCCGATGGGGACAGACCCGGATTCTTCTTTTATCTGCTTGGGTTCCCCCACCCCCACACCTGCCTGCGCCCAGCCACTCGGCCAGAGGGGCTCTGGAGGCTGCTGCCCTGGCCTGGTCGCTGGCTGGAGCCCGAGGCGGAGTGGGAGCGGCCGTGGGCCGCAGACGGCGGTGGGCAGCGGGCTTGCGTCGGCGCCAAGGGATCCCAGCGGGGCCGCGCCCTGCCCTGTGCCCCTCAGCCTCGGCCTCGGGGCTGCGCCTGGTCTGCAGCCCGCTCTCTGTGTGCAGCGGGGAGCTGGGGGCCGCTGTCCAAGGGCAGGGCCTCTGTGGTTTCGGGTGGGGGTGGGGGCGGGGGCGCTCCTCCTGAGCCGTGCTGGCGTCTCCCCTGGCCTGGACGTGAGGCTCTTCCCGATTCCCGGGTGAGCGGCCGGCGTGGACGCCTCTAGTTCTGCAAACCAGTGTGGAGCGCGTTGGGGGTTTTCTGCAGGCCGCCTTCCCGGGCGCCTCTACTTCTGGAGCGGGGGCATCTCTGGAGTCGGATCATGTTTTTAAAGTTCCCCTTTTCCCAAAGTTTCGCAATCGCGGTGGGTCTGTCTTCCACTGTTTTTCCAAAGCCGGGGGAAGGCAGAGAGTGGCTTTCTCTCTGTCCGTTTCATTTCTCGCCGTGGGAGCCTGCGAGGTTCAGAACGACACGCTTTCCGCAAGCAGCTTCGGGAGACGTCGTTCTGGGGGTTTCTGAGCAGGGCCGCACCTGAACCTCTCCTGGGATGGCGGCACAGGGGAGCGGTCCCCGAGCGGCCAGCCCTCCAGGCCGCGCTCGGTGGACGCAGCACTGACCCCCGGACGCCGGGTGCCGGCCGGCACGCGGTGCCCCCGCCCCAGGGGGAGGGCGGGCTTGGGGCCTTCCGGGCCTGCAGCGTGTGCAATTCAGCGGGGAGACGTGTGGCCGCCAGGACGCATGTGCGTCGGAGGGCCACGGCCACAGCCGCCAGCCAGGCTGCGGGGATCCCCCACCTGCCCCCCAGGCCCCACGGGGCGGCGGCAGCCAGAGGGTGGCGAGGCTGAGGTGGACGAGCAGGAGCCAGGCCCAGGCGCTGCCGGGTGGGGTGCGGGCCGGCCGCCTCGCATACTCGGGCCCACTCCTGGAAGGGGGAATAAATCACTGTCCCCTCCAGGGGGAGGAGGGAGCCGCGAACAAAGTCTCCTTTGGCTGGGCCTGGAAACACAGCCTCCTTCTCCATTGTGCGGGAATCAATGGGCCTCCGGCTCCCGCCAGGCGCTGCAGCCCCAACCAGGGAAACGCTGGTTTCCCCCGGCCGCGGCCCCCGTCAGTGGCCTGCCCCGGGCGGGCTCCGGCCCTGCTGACCATCCGGGGAAGGCGGGCCGGGACCCTGCACGCTCACCGCTGCCTGCCCGCCTGCCCCCCGGGGCGTCCTCGTTGGGCTCGCTCTGTGCCTCACCTGGTGTGTCCTGGTGGCAGCCCCGGAGGCCAGATCGGAGCGTGGAGGGCGGGGTGCCCCGGTCGCTGTCCCCCAACTCCACAGCCTCCCTCTCCAGGGCCATGACCCTGTGCCCATCACCCGCTCTTCCCAGTGGTGGCCGCGGGGCTCCCGGTCGAGCCCGGGGGTGTCCAGGGGGCTGCTGTCTGGGCCCTGCCCTCGGCCTATGGGCTGGGGGTGCTGCCGGCTGGGGGAGGGGAGCGGCATGGGCATCACGGGGCCGGGCCAGGGCTGGAAGGAGGGAAGGCCTTCCAGGTGGGCGCCTCCGGGCAGAGGGCCAGCGCCCCGTGGTCAGAGCGAACGTCTGGAGACACGGGTGCCTTGGGGTGGCTGGGCTGGGGACTGAGTGGGGACAGGCCAGGGCTGGGCTGAGAGGCTGGCTGGCTGCAGAGTTCAGGGGGGCTGCCGGCATGGCGTGGGGAGCTTTTCTACCTGTGCCCAGCCCTGTCCCCAGGAAGGAGCCCTCACTCTGCCCCTCCACCCCTGGTGGCTGAGGGCCGGCCTGAAGGCGGGCAGGTCTGGGCCCTGTGAACCCTCACCCTTGCCCTTGCAGGCCGCCCCTCTGGGAGAACCTGCGGGGCTGGGGCTTCCAGGAGCTGTCCCCTAAGCGTGGTGGCAGGGAGGGTGCTCCAGCGCCAGGGCTGCCGGAGCCCCAGGCTTCCCATCCTGGCAGGAAACAATTGCTTTTCTTCCGGCCTGGCAAGTGTAACCCGGGAGAGATCGAGTGGCTGAGGAGTGAACGTGGGGCCTGGGGCCGAGCCTGGCAGACATGCTCCTCGCCCAGGCCCGGGGCCTCGGCTGTCTCTGCCCTCCCGCTGTGCCTGCCCCATTCTGGGGGCGCCGTGATGGGGGCCTGACCTCCAGGTGAGCGGCGTTTGTGCGCGGCAGGGTGCAGGGGCAGCCTGGCGTCCGGCCGCCGCTCCTGGGCGGGCGCTGCCCTGGCCACTGTCAGCTGCCGGCAGTTCATGAGGGGCCCCCAGGGCAGGGCCGCCGTCAGGGTGATGGCACCCTGTGCCCCCGGGACTGCAAGGAGGAGGGTCCGAGCGGCCAGGGCCCCCGAGGACTCCAGGGAAGGGAGCAGCGATCCGCTTGCCCGGGGCCCTGCTGGGCAGTGTGGGGAGGCCGGACGCTTCAGCCAGCTTTCTCGTGCGGCAGGTCAGGCTGTCCCTTGGCCGCGCCCAGAATGGCCCTGTTTCTGGGGCAACCACCTGTCCTGCGGGTCCTACCAGTTCCACCACAGATCCTGTGGGCGCAGCCCCCGAGGGCCGCCCTGGGCTGCCCGGCGGCTGGGAGCCTGAGTGAGTGGGAGAGCGCGCGGGAGCGTGTGCCGCTCCGGCTCAGCACCCGGACAGCCCCGGGCCTCGCCAGCGCAGCCCTGAGCTGGCGCCCCCTCACAGCGGCGCAGGGGCCCAGGTCCCCTGCCCCCCACCTCAGCGCGGCTTCCCGGCCCCCATCAGGGACAGCCCCCGTGCTGTGTCCACGTGTCCACGCCTGCGGGCCCCCCGGGAGGGGCGGGACTGGGCGGGGCTCCTGGACGGTGCCTGCAGCCCACAGCCGGGCCCGGAGCGGCTGGGGAGTTCCTCCCACACCGACATTTTGGGGGCTTTGCAGGGCTGGCTGGGGGCAGAGGTGGCCCCGATGGGCTGGTGGCCCCTACACGCTCTCACTCCCACCTGTGTCTGCGCCACCGGGGGTGGGCGTCACCGGCTGGGGGCGGGCGCGGGGCGAGGCCGGACAGCGGTGCACCGGCCGCCCCTGCTGGGCTGGAGCAGGGCGGGGCCTGACCCCGCCGTCCTGAAGGGGGCTCAGGGCCGGCAGGTCAGAGCCCACAGACTGCCTCAGGCCGTGGGGAGAAGCCCGGCCGATACCCCAGGGCCAGGCCCCTGACAGACAGACGGACGGACGGACAGACAGACGGCGGGGGGGGGCGCGGTGGTCAGGAAGGTCACAGGCGGTTGGCAGAGCCGAGGCCCTGGGGTCCGTGCGTGGACGGTGCGGAGCCAGGGCCCGTGCAGGCGGCACAGGTCCCGTCCCCACCCCCTCGTGGGTCACCTCCCCGGGTGCCCACCACCCTGCTCTCCACCGCCGCCCTGCGCCCACTGGGTGAGGGGACAGCTGCCGGGGGACAGAGCGTTCTTGTGTCACCAAACCAGGAGGGTGACGTCAGGGAGTGGGCCTGGGGTCGCAGGCGCCCGGAGGTGGGTCGTGTCCCTCAGTGGGGGGTCTGCGTCCCCTGCTGGGGAGCAGCGTCTGGCGACGGAGCAGGGCAGCCTGTGTCTCTGAGGGGCCACCGTGTGTCTGGGGGACACCTTTGCGTCCAGGGGACAGCGCCAGGGGAATGGTCAGCAGGGCAGGGCCCATGGGACACCTGAGCTCCGGGGCAGCTGGGAGCCTGGCCGTGCAGGCTGGGTGTGGGGCCTCCAGTCGCTGCGCGCCGGCCCCCGCCCCCGATCCTGGCCTGCTGTCACCGCTGGGGAGGAGGAAGGAGAGAGGAGAGGGGGCGGACTCCCTCCCTGCCCCCGCCTGAGGGCTCCGCCCCGACCTGGGGGGAGACCCGGCCCCACTCACCCCCGTGTCCACCGCACCGTGTGGCCCTTGTGGCCGGCCTGTGCCCGAGCATCCCAGGGCCGAGGCTCCGGTGTGTGCAGGGCTGGGGCTTCCTGGAGGAGGTGCTCACAGGGAGGGGCTGGGGCTGGGGGGAAGAACCCCGGAGGAGGCCAAGGCCCCCCCCCCCCAGGCCCTGCCTGGGAGCTGTTGGGCTTGCCTCCCGGGCACGCCTCCGCATACCCTTGCCTCAGTTTCCCCACGGTGAGAAGGCTGGGCACCCTGTCTGGGTGGCACCATGCGAGCCTGTGTTTCCCAGGCTGAACACGGAGCTGCAGCAGTCATGCCGAGGGCCAGCATTCCCAGGAATCTGTGGGAAGGGGGGCTTCCCTCCCGTGAGCTTGCCGGGGTCTCTGCCGAGGCGGGTGTGGGGCTGCGGGGGGCCCAGCCCAGCCTTGGGTCCGGCGTGGGGCGGTCTGGCCTCTGGGCCGGGGGAAGGGGCTGTTTGCTTTAGGATAAGCCTGGCTCCAGCCTGCCCGTCCCCCAGCGCGTGCACCGGCTGCCCCGGGCCCCGCTTCCGGCCGTCTGGCAGGCCCTGGGCTCTGCCCCGCAGGACGCGGACGGAGGCACATCACAACCTCTCGGTCGGAACAAGTCCGCTGCTGTTGCCCGAGAGACACCCCCACTGCTCAAGCTCTGCTGCCGGGGGCGGGGGGGCGCGGCGGGGCTTGAGGTGACCCCTAGCCCGGGCAGGTCAGGCCTCTCTCTGCCACTGAGCAGCCTGTGGGGGACGGAGGCGGCGGGCGCTTGCTCCATCGGGCCCTCCGCCCGCCCAGGCCAGACCTCCCAGGCGGGCACTGTGACCTCTCCCTGCGCCCGCTGAGCAGTTGCCTGGCTCTGCCTGTGCCCAGGTGGCAGCAGAGGCCCAGGGCACTGGGCGGGGGCGGGGGGCTCTCTTTGTCCTGCAGCCGGAGGCCCTGTGAATGGTGGAATTTCAGACAGTGACAGGTGGCAGGCAGGGTCTGCCTGGGAACGGAGCTGGGACCTCGTCCGTGGACCCTGCAGCCCCTCCCACTCAAGCTGGGTGGGGGCCGGGGTGGGGGCCGCAGACCGTTCAGTAATGAGGGGGAGGCGGGTCTCAGGGCCCTGCCACCTCTGCGATCCCTGTCCCTTCCGGGGGCAGGGTGGGGCGGGAGCTGGTGAGCTGGGGGCTGGCGGGAGCACGTGGTGCCAGCCCGGGAGCACGTGGTGGGGGGGCCCAAGCAGAGGCCGGAGGCGAGTGCCCCTGGGCGGGCGAGTGCGCGGGCGGGGCCGGGAGGGGCCCCCAGCCTGGGAACCAGAGACCCTGAACCCTGGGCTGCCAGCTCCCTGCCTTTACGTGGGGACGGCGCCCAGCCCCCTTCGGCGCCCCCAGAGAGGAGTGGGGGGCTCGGTGCGCCGGCAGGGCCTCTGCGTCGGGGGTGGCGACGCGTGCAGAGCTGCTGCGGGAGTGTCTGTCGGGCCCACAGAAGCACGCGTGGCCCTGGTTGCGGAGGCCTCGGCGTAACCAGCTGGTAATTGCATGTTGAAGAAATACTAGCTGGTTATTAAAAACACATGCGGCCCGCAGGCCCCGTTCGACAGCATCTGGGAGCCGCCGCCGCCTCCGGGAACGTCGAGAGGCCGGACCGGCTCTGCCCTCCCAGCCGCTTGGGGCCGTGCGGGGTGGGGGCAGGCGGGGCCCCGCGGCCCGGACGGCCGCACCCCTGGGGAGGGGGCTGGGTGCCCGAGGCCGCCTCGCGGGGTCCGGGGTGCGGTGGGCAGGGTGGCTGTCAGGTTGTTGGCCAGGAGACAGCCTGTCCTTCCCGACACCTGCGTGTCCTTCCCAGCCAGGCGCCCAGTGTCCCCCGGCCTCGTCGCCCCGCTGTCCCTGCACGCGACCCCAGAGGCTCCAAGGCGGGGCCCGGGCCACGGGGCAGGAGCCGGTGCTCTCCCAGGGCGAGGGGCGCCGCGGCCTCGCCTGCAGCGCGTGTGTCTCCCTCAGTGGACGGGGCCCTGTCCCTGGGGCCATGGGCCAGCTGCCCCCCAACCCCCGGGCGAGGCTGTGTGTCGGGCGGTTGGCCGCAGGGCGGCGCTTGTCCAGGCAGATGGGGTCCCCGCACACAGACGTGGGCCCTGGGTACCCCGGACGCGGGTACCACGCGGGAGCCACCGGACGGTCATGTGCGCGTGCGCCCACAGACGCCCGGGTGTGTGCGTGGGGGCCCGTGAGGGGTGCCCTGCTCTCCGCGGACGTGCGTCCCGGCGAGCTCCTCCGGCCAAGTTTGATTCTGGCTCCTGCGCAATGGCACGTAGTGGGTGCTCAGCGGCCGCGGCTCGCCCGCAGTGGGCCCAGGCGGGTGCGGCCCGTGGCCGGGGAGAGGGCCCCAGTGCTTCCGGCCCCACTGCGTGTGCTGGGCAGGGGCACTGCGGTGGAGTCCTGAGTGGGGACCCTCAGGGACAGCCCCTTCCCAGGCCCCTGGGACTCCAGCGTCACCCTGAGCAGCTCTGACCTGCCTGCAGGCCCCCCGAGGATGGCGGACAAGGTGGTCCCTCGGCAGGTGGCCCGGCTGGGCCGCACCATTCGGCTGCAGTGCCCCGTGGAGGGGGACCCGCCGCCGCTGACCATGTGGACTAAGGACGGCCGCACGATCCACGGCGGCTGGAGCCGGTTCCGCGTGCTGCCCCAGGGGCTGCGGGTGAAGGAGGTGGAGCGGGAGGACGCGGGGGCCTACGTGTGCAAGGCCACCAACGGCTTCGGCAGCCTCAGCGTCAACTACACCCTCATCGTGACGGGTGAGTGCCGCCGGGCAGCGCACCTGCTGGGGCCGGCCTTGCCTGGGGTCCCACCGGCCTGGGCCGGGCCCCGGCAGCCTGTTGCCTCCAGGGTGGTGTCCAGCCACCTCTGTCCTCAGCCCCTCAGGGACCCTTTCCGCCCAGTCGCTGCTGCCCTGGAGGCCGGGGCGGCCGGGGCAGCAGGCACGGGCAGGGGGGCCAGAGTGGTCGTCCCACTGAAGGGCGTGCTGGGCAGGCTGGTGGCGCTGCTGCTGGCGGTGACTTTGAGGCTCAGGTTTCGGAGTTCAGAGGGGCCGCCGGGAAGCCAAGGACCTTCTGTCCTCTTCTGCCTCTGGGGCCTGGGCTTGGGGCCGGGGCGGCGTCCCTGGGGACACACCCTGCCCCGGCCGGGAGGGCCCTGGCACCCGGCCCACCCCACGTGCCCCTGCGTGGGTCCCTGGGGGAGGGGCGCTGGGGGCGGGTCTCTCCAGGGTGGGTCCCTCAGGGCTCCTCCACCTGGCCCCACCGCAAGGCAGGAGCCCGGGCTGCGCCCCCCACGGCGGGGTCCTGGGCGGCAGGGGGGGCCCTGAGGCAGCCTGGCCTGGTCCTGGGCTCGGGGAGGCGCGGCTGTCCCGGGGAGGGGGCATTCCTCAGCAGCCCCACCCCCGCGGGGGTTGTGGAATGGGACCGCGGCGGGTGCCCCGCACTGTCCCCTCGTGGGGGGGAGACGGGGCGGTATGCGGCCGTGTCACTTCACCCGGCCCTCGGCCCCTTGATCTGGGCTAGGGTTACCGCAGCTGCCGCAGGCCTGCCCCTCCCCCCCGCCTGCAGACCCCCCGGAGCCAGGGTGGGGGGCCCGCGCTCAGTCCTGCCCCCCCGGCCTGTCGGGGTCACCTGCACCCTGGGAGTGGGCCGGGCGGGCTGTGCCCAGCTGTCTCAGGGCCTCTGGGGTGGGGGGGGGTGCCCACGGCCCCCACTGGGCTTTCCAGGGCTTGCTTGGCCCGGCCAGATGCCAGGGCCTGGGAATCAGCCCAGACCTGGGGCGGGGGCTGCGGGGACCCAACTCAGGCCCTCCCCTCTGCAGAGGACACCAGCCCAGCCAGGGAGAGCCCGGGGCACGAGGGCCCCTCCGGGGGCCAGGAGGAGCCGGCCAGCAAGCAGTGGGGTGAGTGGGGCGACAGCGCTGTCCCCGGGGGCGGGCCCCCGCCTGCGCCCTGCTGACCTCTCTGCCGCCCGCCTGCAGCACGGCCCCGCTTCACGCAGCCCTCCAAGATGCGGCGCCGGGTGATCGCGCGGCCTGTGGGCAGCTCCGTGCGGCTCAAGTGCGTGGCCAGCGGGCACCCGCGGCCCGACATCATGTGGATGAAGGACGACCAGGCCTTGACGCGCCCGGAGGCCAGCGAGCACAGGAAGAGGTGGACGCTGAGCCTGAAGAACCTGCGCCCCGAGGACAGCGGCAAGTACACGTGCCGGGTGTCGAACCGCGCCGGCGCCATCAACGCGACCTACAAGGTGGACGTGATCCGTGAGTGCCGGGCCGGGGGCGGGGGCCGGGGGGGCCGGGGGGGCCCGAGGGGCCGGGGACACGCCCACACGCCGCTCCCCCCACAGAGCGGACGCGCTCCAAGCCCGTGCTCACGGGCACGCACCCCGTGAACACCACGGTGGACTTCGGGGGCACGACGTCCTTCCAGTGCAAAGTGCGCAGCGACGTGAAGCCCGTGATCCAGTGGCTGAAGCGCGTGGAGTACGGCTCCGAGGGCCGCTACAACTCCACCATCGACGTGGGCGGCCAGAAGTTCGTGGTGCTGCCCACGGGCGACGTGTGGTCGCGGCCCGACGGCTCCTACCTCAACAAGCTGCTCGTCACGCGCGCCCGGCAGGACGACGCCGGCATGTACATCTGCCTGGGTGCCAACACCATGGGCTACAGCTTCCGCAGCGCCTTCCTCACCGTGCTGCCAGGTGCCCGCCCGCCTCCCGCCGCCCGCGCGCCCGCGCGCCCGCGCGCCGGGCCCTCACACCCTGCCCCTTGTTCTCGCCCGCAGATCCCAAGCCGCCGGGGCCCCCTGTGCACCCCTCGTCTCCGGCCTCCAGCCTGCCCTGGCCCGTGGTCATCGGCATCCCGGCCGGCGCCGTCTTCCTCCTGGGCACCGTGCTCCTGTGGCTCTGCCAGGCCAAGAAGCAGCCGTGCGCGCCTGCCCCGGCGCCCCCGGGGCCTGCGCACCGCACGCCTGTGGCCGCTCGCGACCGAGGCGGGGACAAGGACCTGCCCGTGCCCCCCGGCCTCGGCACCGCCGCCAGCATGGGGCTGTGTGAGGAGCTCGGGGCCCCTGCAGCCCCCCAGCACCTGCTGGGCCCGGGCTCAGCCACTGGCCCCAAGCTTTACCCCAAGCTCTACACAGACGTGCACACACACACTCACACGCACTCACACACGCACTCACACGTGGAGGGCAAGGTCCACCAGCACCAGCACATCCACTACCAGTGCTAGGTGGTGCCGCTCTCGCGGCTCCGGGCGCCACGGGGTGCGCACCTGGTGGCCAGGCCGGGCGGGCAGGCCGGGCGGGCAGGCCGGGGGCAGAGGGCCGTGGCGGGGGCGCCCCCGGGGAAGGGCACGGCCAGCCTCCGGGGCACCCTGTGCGAGGCACACATGCTCCTGGACGCGCGCACGTGCGACACACCTCCCCACACGGACGTGCTCTGGACACATACACGCAGGCACGCCGATGCTCAGGCCGCCCGATGAGGGGAGCCCTCAGCCTGCGAGGAGGGTTTCCCGGGGGCACGGGCACCGCCCCCACCTGGCAGGAGATCTGAGAGGCACCCCGGCTTTGCAAACCAAAAACCCCCTGCCCCTGCCCTCCGCCCGCCCGCCCGCCCGCCCCTGCCCAGGCCTCGGCAGGTGGGCGGCTATTTTTGCCACCACCTGTCCTGGGTGTCCAGGAGTCCACCCGCCCCCTGGGCCGGGCGTTGGGCACAGCAGCCTCAGGCCCCGTCCCGAGAGGCGGGAGCCCGGCTGGGAGTGACTCTGGTCACACTGGCCTCCCGCTGCCAGAGACAAGGGGGCCTTGATATTTATATTTAAGAAATTAAGATAATATTAATGATGAAAGGGGGCTGGCCTTTCCGGGCCCAGGGCCCGCCTGGCCTCTTAGCCGTGCTGGGCGTCCACCTCGGGGCCGGGCGCCCACGGCCCCCGCCCCAGGCGGCCCAGACCTCTGTAATTTTATATAGAGTTTGAGCTGAAGCTTCGTATATTTAATTTATTTTGTTAAACAAGACAATGTGCATCCTTTTCCTCTAATCTAGTGTTGCTGCTTGTGTGTGCGCCTGTGCGTGCGGGCCTGTGTCTGCACGTCTGTGTGTGTGCTCGTGGGCCTGCGGCCTAGGCTTCAGACCAGCGACAGGAGGCCCTCAGAGCCCCACTGAGGGGCCTGGGGTCCCCAGGGCTCGGTGCCGATCCCCTGCCCAGGGGCACCGCCCTGGGCACCTGCATGCGCCTGGCTGCCGGGGGTCCGGGCGCCGGCCGATCGGTCCTGCGCACACCCTTCTGCACGGTGCGCCCGGGACGCTTGGTGCGCCTGCCCCACGCAGCTGGGCGGCCTTGGAGGGCCGGGGCTGCTCGGGCCCTGCTGCCTGGCACCGGCCCCCGGCCAGCAGGGCGCCCCTGAAGGGCCTAGGCACGGCCCCGGCGGGGCACCAGCGGTCTCGCCCTCCAGGTGGGGAGAGGGAGGCTCCAGCTCGCTTGGCCAGCCCTCGAGGCCGGGCCTTCCTCGGGCCCGGGGTGCGGGGCCTCTTCGGAAAAGGCACTAGGACAACCCGTGCGGTGTCAGCAGAGCCACCTGTGTGAGGCGCGCGGCACCCCCCGAGCCCGAGTCTGGCGGGAGGGGGCGGGCCTGGGCTTCCCCAGACAAGGACAGGCTCTGCCAGGCCTCACAAGGTCAGGGCCTCGGCCGCCCCCCGCACCCTCACGCTGGACCGGCCCCTGTCCTGCCTCCGAGGGCCGGGTCTCCGGTCCCCCACCCCCGGGGCCGCCCGGCCGTGCAGGATGGGCTCCCTTGTCCTTTTCAACATCGTCCCGCCCCCTGGAGGCCCTGCTTGAGTGCTCCTGGCTGCGGGGAGCGGCCGCCTGTGGCAGGTGCAGCGGGAGACCTGGGCACTGGCTGCCTGGCGGCGGGGGGGGGGCCGGGGGGGCCGTGGCTGCTCACAGCTGGCGACACCAATGGGCTCCCCGGACGGCAGGCTGGGGGGTCCTGGTTGGGTTTCCGTCTCAGGGGGGCCTTGGGCTGTGGAGAGGCCTCTGTCCAGTGGCGGGGAGGCCTGGGCGGTGGCCACCTGCCACCTTCGGGTCAGGGAGCAAAGCAGGGCAGGCGCCCCGGAGGGCACAGCCCCGGAACCTCCTGATGGGGACCGAGACCCCAGGCTTTGTGTCTGTGCCTTTCTTGACCCCTGGAGCTCGTGGGGGTTGGGGGCTGCATCATCCTCAACCCCGGGGAAGCCTTCCGTGGGCAAGACAGGCCCCTCCGGCCCTCACTAGGCTGTTCTGCCATCAGGGTGGCCAGGCCCCGGCCCGCAGGCCACACCCCGGGGCTCAGAGCCCCGCCGTCCTGCTCTCCGCACAGCCTCCTCGGCCCCTACCTGGAGGGGTCAGCCCTCCTTGCTCCCTGCAGTCCCGGTCCCCAGCTGTAACCCCGCCCCCCGTCCTGGGCTGCCTGCCCCTCGATGCAGCCATGACCCCTGTGGACCCCAAGGCCCACGTGGACGCCCCCGACCTCGGCTCCTGTCCCCTCCACGTTGCAGAGGTGCCTGCGAGCCGTCCTGCACCCGCACCCCCAGGGCAGACTCTCCCTTCTTTGCACCCCCATATGCGGGGTGAGGGGAGCAGCCCACCGGGTGACGCGGGTCCTTTCCCTGGGGGGAGGCGGGGAGACGGTGTCCCTGAGCGGGTGCAAAGTCCGCCCTGACAGGTGATTGTTGACTGGTTCGCCAGCTGACCCCGACCGGCGGGTGGCTCCCTGCCAACCGCCACCCTGTCCCGCCCCACCCCTTTAGGCACCCCGTCCCCCTCGGGACTCCCGGGCTGAGCACAGAGGGACTGGCCAGGTTCAGGAACGCAGGCGGGGGGCCCGGGGTGGCGGCGGGGCCACAGGGAGCGGGGCGGGCAGGCGGGAGGCGCTGTGGCCAGGCCACGCCCCCCGCAGGCTCCGTGGGGCCGGGCCTGGGCTGCCCGGCCCCGGGGTAGACTAACACTGAGGCCAGGCCCCCGAGCGCCCTCGGCCACGGGCAGAAAGGCCCGCGACCGCCACCAGCCCAACGGGGTTCCCCGGCAGGAACACAGACGCCAGGATCCCCAGCTCTGTGGCGTGTCCTGGGGGCTGGCCCTGCCCCAGGGGCCCCCCGCCTGCAAGTGAATGGGGGGGTCAGCTGTGTCCTCAGGGTGACCCTCAGGCCCGGCCAGTCTGGGCCATTTCGGGAGACTCCGGATGTCCTTGGTGGGTGCAGGGTGCCCGGTGGGTGGCGTGCCGGGAGGGCGCGGCCCCAGGTGCCGAGCCAGCCAGCCTCTTCCCTCTGATCTGTCCTGCGCACGATAAGCCGGTCCCCTTGAAGTCCGGCAAACTTGAAAGGCCGCCCAGGCTCTGACACCCGAGGGTGTGACTGCCCCCTGCTGCTGCCCAGCCTTCCTGGCTTCAAAGGGGTGTCGGCCGGCCGGCCAGCAGCTGTCCTGGACGGGGGGGCCCGAGGCTGATGCCAGGGACAGGGCAGTGCGACCAGAGGCCAAGGATGAGGGGCACGTGGGGCAACCCCACCCCGACGGACCTTGTGTTGGGGGGCTTGGCAGGAGATCAGAGCCTTGTCCTGGGGCCGGGCCAGGGGCCTGAACCGGGCCTTTGGTGGACACCGACTTGGCCGGGACCCAGGGCACGAGGTCAAGGACTCCTGGGTGCTGCTGGGCGGGGGGCCCGCAAGGACCTGGGCCTGCGGCCGGGGCTGGATGGAGGGCGCCGCCAGGCAACACGCCCCGAGCCAGGGCGCCAGGGCACGGGACTGCGGGCTGGGTGCTGCGAGGCGGGGACCCCCTGCGTGGCCCCGGGGCTGGGGCGCGGGGAAGCAGCCCTGCCCCGTGCCGGGCCGCAGCAGGGTCCGTGTGAGAAGTTTCTGGCGGCTGGGAATGCAGGGCACCCCACGAGCCATCTCTGCTGGGCAGGGGCCACGCGGCTGCTCACCCCACAGAGGCGCTGGGGCCCAGGGCGAGGGCGGGCTCCCTCGGGGCCCCGTGCCGACCTGGCCCTGCGTCTGGCCCGCGTGGTCAGCCCCCAGGCCTGGCCGGGCTCAGGGCCTTCACAGGACAGGCTGGGTGGGCACTGGGATGGGGTGGGGGGAGCTGGGGGCTCGGGGCTCTCCCGGGAGGAGGAAGGTTCGCTGAGGGGGCGGCTCCTGCCCGGGGCTGAGCTGAGCCCTGACAGACGCCGAGCCCAGGGCCCCTGTGACGCGGCAGCAGCCGGGCAGGACCCGGGAGGCTGGCGGAGGGCCCATGCGTGCCCAGGCCCCGCGGCCCCACTGTGCGCAGAGCCCGTTCGAAGCACGCGTGGTCACGGCCTGGCGCGGCTTGGTCCTGAAGTCAGGCTTCCAGCCTGGGCCGCAGCCCGTCTGCCAGCCCTTCCCTGGCCGCACAGCCAGCCCACCGCCCAGCCTGGGACTGACCCCATCAGCAGCTCTGCCCGCCAGCACTGACCGCCCAACCCTGCCTGAGCCCTGGCCCGTCCTCACCTTGAGTCCGGCCCCGAAGGCTGGCGCCTCCCCGGCCCCCGTGGCCCTGATGTGGGACTGCTGCTGTCGGTGCCGGGGGTCGGCCCCCCTTGGGCCGCACGCCTCTGTGTCCAGAGGCGGGAGCTCAGCCAGGGCCCCACCTGGGGGCAGCCGGGGGTGGCTCTGCCTGACACTCAGGGGCTTCTCCTGTGGACGCCAGCGGGGGGCCCGCGAGGACTTTCTCTGGCCTCACAGACCTGGTCAGCCTGGGGTCCCTCCCGGGGGCTCAGGAGCCCACCCCGCGTGTGCCCCGCTGGGCAGCACTCTGACGCTGCCGTCGTCACCGGCGTGCCCTGGGGAAGCGGCCGGCGCCGGCCCCGGCCCCAGCCGGGTGCTGCGTCGACCGCTCGGCCCTGGGCACCTCAGGCGGTCGGGGCGCGGGGCGGGCGGGGCTGTGCCAGCACAGATCCCGTGTCCGCTCGGGGCTGGGTGACGCCCTGGGTCAGGGGGCCCTCGGCACCCGTCTGCTCCCCCCGGCACAGGCTGCTTTCTTTTGGGGACCTTGACTTTGGCGTCTGTCTGGGGTGAGGAGGCAGCGTGGGAGTGTCAGGCCAGTGGCCAGCACAGGGGCCCGGGTCCTCCTGGGCTGTGGCCCCACGGCAGGGGTCATAGGTCGCAGGCTGAGCGCACACACCACCCTCCCTCCCGGTCCCCCGGGGCCCCGTCACCTGTCCCAAGGCCTCTCTTCTGGGCCCAGCGGCCTGAGGCCGCCCCAGGGGCTGCGGGGAACCACACCCGAGGGACCCACCC